TTGGGCGCAGCTCGAGTCTAACGGCATCGCAGGATGTGGAAAAACAGAAGCTTAAATCATGAGGATTAAAGGAAAACTCATCTAAGAAGGTCTTTAGTTGGAAAACAGATTTTGTATATTTTTAAACCCTTAATTTTTGAACTTCTAGCAGCAGACAGACTGACTTTCAAGCAAGCAAGTCCTTATAATATGGATAAAATAACTAAATACTAAATATGTATGCTTTATTCAAATGATAACCAATGATATCCATTGAACTGATATCGATTATCTAAGGAATCTCAAGTCGACAAATGCTGAGTTCCGCAAAAATACTCAATTGCTTAAGCAGCCGGAGAATAATTGCCACAATTTATTAAGGATATTTCTTAAATGTCATATCAAGTGTCCCCCGAGAGGCACATAGACAACGCCCAACTCCCAGTCGATGGCTCACGTAAGCCGTAATCTCGAAAGCATCAAGCCAAAGGACTTTAGCACTTAAGACAAATGCAAACAAAAACACGCATCCACTGAGACATAATCACTGAGGCCCACGTGCTAGGCAAATTAATTTGGATTCCGACGGTGGATTTGCCTTACAGAGAAATGGAGCAGACAGAGACTGAGGGACAGGGAGAAAATTCTCAAAAATATCTCTCTCTCTCTCTCTTCCTGTTGGAGATAGAGTTTTCTGGGATGAGCGTTGACAGCAAAAATTTAACGCTTGAAATGCCAAGCACACAAATATTTTGACATTCAAAGCACAGATCCTAATACACACATGCATACTATGTGCTCTTAGACGATGTCCTTCATATGGGCGAGTGCCAGTGTGCCAGTGGATGTGTGTTTGCTCTGTTCTTTTGGCGCGGCAAATTTTCCATGAAAATTGCATGAATTGCAGATTTTTGTTGCCCATCCGACCTCCTTCCGCTCTTTCCCATATACGCACGAAATGCGCTCCGGCCGGAGCGTTGGGACTTGTGATACCCCCCATACCGAGACCAGCACCAAACCCTTACCGAATCCTAACCCTAGTGCCCGAGTCAAGTTGCGTGTGCCGTAGACATTTTTATGGCATGCAGCGAACTGCCAGATGGCAGCTGCCGCTTGGCACTTGCCGCAAAGTACGGAAAATGCTTTACAATATAATAGAATTTGCCAGAAACGTGACTTTAACAAGCTCTTAGACATGTAAATACATAAGCATACACACACTACCCACTCAGTTGCCGTCAAACAGCCACACAGCAGAATGACTTAATATACTGCAACGCTGATATGTGGACAATGTGACGTATGCGTGATATGCCAAGTGAGTGCACAAAAAGGACAAGTGTTCCAAGCAGGACCAAAGTGAGAAGGAGCCAAGTGAGAGTAGAACTCTGCAGAATTGCAGCGACATCCGTTGCGGTCACAGCTCAATTAGTTTTTATTTTTGCCGGAACAGGGCATGCGGGGCGTATGATTAATGTGGTTTTTATTCAAATGGCGCTGCCCGAAAGTATGCAACAATATAGTGCCTGACACTTGTGGCATTTCGTGTGTGCCAAGAGCAGCAGCAACAGCACTTGCAGCAGCAACATCAAGATTACGAGCAATTTTCCCTTGGCTGGAATGCAGCCAACCCAGAAAAAAACTATTTTCCTTATTCAAAAGATACTACTCGCCGGCAAATTGCGGCGCATTCCCGTAGCACAGATGCCAACTAAATTACATTTCATTCCAATTACTTTACAGCAGCAGTCGGAGTCGGAGAGGTAATCCGGATAATTGCCACATACAGAACATCCTGCAGGCTCAACTAATTCGGCAACATCTCGATGTAAAAGTTGCACCAGCTTTGATTCAATTAAGACCGTTTGCTCCGATAGTTGCTGGAATTTTAATTAAGTAAACACCGGATAAGGATCAAATCAAGTTAGGCCACAGTGAAGCCGGAATCACGCTTGCACACTTCACACCCGGACTCGAGCAATGGCACCCCAAGGAGGCATTCAGCGTCCGGATCGAGGTTGGACTTAAATCATCAATTTTTCATCTCACTCGACTGCATAAATCAGACTGCCAGGTTGCCAGGCTGCCAACCTGCCACGTGCCATATGCCACTTGCCACTTGCCGCTAAAACGGCCACGTTAACCTGCCTCATTGTAGTGCCTCCTTGGCGCGACATTTGTTGTCCTTTGTTTTTAATGTCCAACAGTCGAATGCCATAAAATTTAATGCCAGTTCCTGTCGACCTCTATGCTTATACACTGTAAGAATTTATGATGAGCCAAAGAAAACTTTCTCGCACTAGAAAAAGAACAATTTAAGTCTATACAAATCTTTAAAATAATCTAAATTCATATGAAAACAAAGAAAGAAACCCTGCTGTTTGCACTTGAATTATGTGAGGAAATCGGAAATTGATCATAACTAAGCTTAAAATGCTCACATTCTTTGTACTTTGTTTTGATTTTATATTTGGTTGACAGAAGGATCACCCTGAAAAATCCTTTTCTTTCTGTGCATTAAAGACAATTGCGTGCCGCGGTACATTATGGCCACGTCCTGGATTTGACTTTTGGCCAAAACCAAGGCTAGTACCGCTTACCTCAGGTTCAGGCTCAGACTTAGGCTGAGAAGGCACTCAAACCGACTGGCTGGTTGTTGTGTTGTCACTGGTATTTGCTTAGACGAGATTTATGCCCTCCTAGCGCTTGATAAATGACTGGGAAAATTTGTAAGTGGCTTTTACTTTTTGTCAACTCGAATCCGAAATGCTCGTTGGCCATAAATTCACAGTTCGCTGCTGCTGCTATTCGGTCTGGTCTCTCATTTTCCCTGCGGCTGGGCCTCATTAAAATACCAAATTAGTCCGGCGAATTAGAGAAGTTCTAGAGATAATTCATGTAATTGTTGATGAATTCAACCCCGGCATCAGACAGCTGAAATTAAATAGAATGACCAACCGGAATGGCTAATTAAATGAGCAAATAAAAGACCCGAAAAACAGACAAGAAATTAAATACCATACACAGTGACTCCTTCTGTACAGGATAATTAAGGCAAAACAATGGAATATTTGTACATATAAGGGAAATAGTAACTACAAGTTAGGTTAAAAAATAACACAAATGAAATACGGGCTTTAAATCGATTGTTTTATTTAAATTACAATTACAGACACGCCCTCCACACAACACTCATTAGCTTTTATTAATCGAATTAACTGCATATCGTGTCACTGCGAAACATTGTTGCTAAGTCTTTTATCCGAACAATTACCGAGCGACTGGCCAATAAATAAGCCACAGAAACACATGAAAAGACCATAATCGGACCAGGGCATATTCATCCATAAACAGACAGATTAAACCCGTCAACGTCATGCCATAAGCGTGCATTAAAAATTAATTACATTTTAAATGGCAACAAGATTTAATTCCTGCGGGTGGTCGCCGCCGCTCTCCTGTCCCACGAAAGAGCTCTTAATTGAAAAGTAAAAATAAATGTCATTACAGTAATTCATTTGCTGTTGTCCGGAATGCGATTTAGGGTGCTTTTGCGCCATTTTGCAGCACTTGGACCGGACATCGTTGAGATTTTAATTGAATTGTTGTGATCAATACACCAAACGTTGCATCGTTGCTCACATGGAAATAGGGCTGCAAATTTGTTGCGGTCAATTTTGACCGTGATAATGCCAGGGAAAATCGTACCTAAACTCCAGCATTCAGCTGCAACAGTTTCCCCCGTATCCCTCTGTGTCCCTCTCTTTCTCTTCAAAAAATAAGCCGCAGCTGCAAAACGAACCGCAGCAGCCAAGTGTCGAAAATTTGCATCCAATTAAAATGTTTGCTCTAACTCACAGCACACACACAGACAGCAAAAAACACACGCTATTACCTATGTTACATGGCCCAAAAGTGCAGTGCGGTGTCCATATGGATGCCACTAACTTGGCCGCATTTTTCACCAGTAACTGCAATTAGGCAACTACCGTATCGTAATAATAAATTTATGGCTCTTCCTTATCGAATTTCGGGTTTTCCCGTCATATCATAAGTTCACCACCTTATAGGTTAATTGTTTACAATAACAATTAATCGAAGTTGAGAGCAAACACAGTCTGGCTTTAATCATTTGTTAATCAATTTCAGAGGTAATTATAAAACATTTATTAATGATTTCCAGTTAAAAAAACTACCATCAGATTTCAAGGAAATTCAGTTTATTTTTAGACCACCAAAAAGGGCGATTGTTAACTAGGTTGTTCATGGTAGAAATCAAAGGTGAGAGATAACTACATAAGTGTAGCGTGTGGCAATTATAACCAGAATAAAGCCAATATTTGTACACAAGGGTGAAGCAAGACAAGCTGACTTGAGATAACTACTTTTACCTGTTAATAAAGAACCCAAAGAAGGGATTTAAGACTTGAATATATTGATAAGAATTTGTGTAATCTATACAACATAATATTTAAGAAATTATACTATCGTATTTCAAAGCGTCTTTTAATATTACAAGAATAACTCCTTTAAAATGTTTTCTTTATAATATTTGCATATTTTAAATGTACCTTAGATAGTATTACTAAAATAAGTTTTCATAATTTCCCTTAATTTTAAAAGTTTTTTATATTTTTTAGTTCTTTGTTTGTATATTTGAAACCAACATAAAACGCAACCTGAAACTTCCACAAATTCAAACAAAGCAAAGTTAATCTTGCATAATTTTAATAATGGACAAACAAAGTAAATGTTTAATAACAAAGAAATTTAACAAACAAAGTAAGGTTTATGTCATTGACTCTTCTAAAGGCACGTCCTCTATTACAGGTGTTACAAACAAGAAACGGCACATACTCAAGTTCGACGCTCTGGAAATTTTATAATCACTTCATTTTCATATTTTCACTTACCTTGGCTTATGTCAAGTCTAGGCGGTAACTTCCCCAAAACACCTTCTGACTCGTTCGTATTTATTGTTTTTGTTGTTTTTTTTTGTATTTTTATATTTTGTTGTGGTTTTCAACTTATTTCTCGCTTTGTTTTTATACCGAAAACGTATGCCAGAGACGCCGCTGGGCAAAACCGAGCCCGTTCAGTGAGCTTTTGGCGCTTGCGGTGAGCGGTTCGCTTGGTTACTTCCACGGAACTTAATTGTTTACAGTCGTAACGTAACTGCAAAATAGATAAAGTATTAAAACATATTAATAAAATATAAAACATAATTAGTGCCCCGTAGTGAAACCAACAATGCAAAGGCACCCACAACACCTGAGAACACACGCCTGAACCAGCTCATAAAAGATATTAAAAACCGGCAGAAATTGAAAAAAAAAGTAATAAAATAAGTTTGCTAACCTACATAACTTTTAAGATCCAGCTGCGGAGACATCCTTTGGGTAATAAAACCATAAGAACCAGGGCCTATCTCAAGCGTCGCGTGTACAAACCGCAAACATAAGATATGATCGAACGCCATATAGTTAATAATGCCATATAATTCAAAAATCTATTGTGACTGGTGACGTAGCCAAAAGCAAAAACTCTCCCACCAATTATGTTTTGTTTTTTCATTGCTTTTTTTTCAATGAAACCTGTTGAGGTAAGGGACAGAAACAAATAAAGCTGTCAGTCAAATGAAAAGTGATGTGCAGATGATGTACGTTTCTCAATTCACCCGGCGCCCTCTCAATTCGTTGTGAAACTGCTTTGACTATATCTTTATTGATACCATAAAGATTCTGGAATGGCATGTCTGCATGCTATACAATATGCAATTGCCAGATAAGTGAGGAAGTTATCCCAAGGAGATACTCCCACCATAACCTAATTAAAATACAGCTTTGTATCAGACGGGTCATAATATACGATACAAGATAAGTGGGGGAGGTATTCCAAAATAAAAATACTTTCCCGCCAGAATAAAGTTTCGAGTTCGTCGCACTTTTTTGGTGCATTAAAATCAAACAGAAAGGGTAACAAAGAGATCTGCAAAGCGACCAAAGCCCAAGCAGCTCCTCGTGTGCAATTAAATAATTGACTCTTGCCAATATAAAATAATAAAAACTCATTTAAAACGTGTGGGGTGACGGGCTTTATCGCAACGCCGCGGCACCACCACCGAAAGCGGTGTCGGTGGCGTATTGTGTGCCGTGTGGTGTTGCTATCTAGTTTTCTGTAGAGCTTCACGCTTTGTTTTTGTTTGGGCCAAGTTAGCAAGTAATTGCAGCCTGCTTACTGACATTTTTAAGTTGCAACAGCAAAGTACTGGAGTTGCAGTATTGCCTTAACGACGAGAACAATCAGCAAAGCAGCTGCGCATGCGCAACACACACCCAACTCAGACCCAACAGACACGACCTATAGTCATCCAAAAAGTAAACAAACAAAGGAATGCAAACAATCGAGTCGATGCATAAATACTCTAGCTATAAATGGTCTCTGGATTTCAGTACTTTAAAGAACATTTCAATCCATTAATAATTATACATATATTTCATTCCTGATTTTAACAAACAAGTTTAAGCTCTCAGTACTTTTGCTGATCGTCTTTATAACAAGCTTTTATTTATTTTTTATGTGACTCATATATAGTAAATATATCAATCGATTATGACTCCCGCCTGTAACAGCCTGTCCATAAACAATCAACCTGTTTTTTACGCCTTTTTCTAAGTTAGCAAGGCCAATGTCTTGGTTTGTCAACTGGTTTTTAATCAGGAAGAGGCCTGTGTAACTGTTTTGCGTGAATAAATTCACTTTCCATTTAGCACTTTCGTAAAACAATTTAAGCCCCATTTGGAGATGACTAGAATCCAATCCATATTTTCTAGTAAAATATTTTCTCTTACTAATATGGTAATCTCCATACAATGGTAGAGTTATCTATGAGACATTCCTCAGCTGCCGGAGCTGGTAATAAATCAGTGTGAAATTTGAGATATCAGGAAAGTTTGCTGTCCCCCCGTATCGGCTGCAAAATAAATAAACATGAAAGCCAAAGTGTTGTCATGAATGGAGTAGAAATGGCAAAAACAAAAAAAAGCACATGCAACAAAGTGCCAGACGCTTGGAGACCTTTCCCTGAAAAGGCCAGGAAACTGGTTTCGCCCTGAGGCTTGGCAGCCAAAATTGCCACAGATTTTTGCCTGCTGCATTTACCAGTTTGATGCAGTTTCCACTGCATCGAGGCAGCGAGACACCTCTCCATTGTTATGTAATGCGTAATCGTCTAAGTCAGTGGGTCAGTGACTTGCCAAGCGCCTTGTCTTTGTCCCACTAAGCCGAACCGAGTCGAGCCGGTAAGCGTCCATTAATGACCATAATCGGGGCGATGTTCGGCGGGGCCTCGAATCTTGACCACCAGGGGAAGTAACCTTAAGTTGCAGCGAACTAAGTTGAAGGCTATTGCAACCACATTTTTGATTGATTTGCAGCTGCAACATGGACAGCTCCGTCACAGCCAATAACAATAATAATAACGACGGCTACATGAATCCGGCCTTTGTCGGTTCATTGAATTCCTCAACCATATCCATACCCGGTGCATATAAGCCCACAAATGTTGCCAATGGTAGCAGCAATCAAAAGCAGCAGGAGGCGGCTGGAGGAGCAGGAGCAGTCGCGGGAGCAGGAACTCCATCAGGACCTGGAGACAATCAGCCAGGAGCAGAGGCAGGAGAGCAGGGAAAAAAGCGAGCCAGTTGGAACAATGATATCGAGTTCCTTATGTCCTGCATCGCGCTAAGCGTGGGTCTCGGCAACGTCTGGAGATTTCCTTTCACCGCTCTGGAAAATGGCGGAGGAGCCTTTGTTATACCCTATCTAATCGTCCTGGTGCTGGTGGGTAAACCAGTGTATTACCTGGAAATGCTGCTGGGACAGTTCTCCAGTCGGGGCAGCGTCAAGGTCTACGATTTCGCGCCCATCATGAGGGGTGAGTTTGGCTCCGCACCAGGTTCACATGTTCCTGTGTGCTAAATCAAGGGATATCTCTTATCGGTTCTCTTCCACAGGCATTGGCTATGGCCAGGTCTTGGCCACCGGCATCGTGACCACCTACTATGCCACGCTAATGGCCCTGACCCTCCGCTACTTTGTGGATTCCTTTTACCCAACGTTGCCGTGGAGCTATTGCCGCGCCGAATGGGGCCCCGATTGTTTGGATTCGGGACCGCAGGAAGCGAGTGGCATCAGCCTGGCCAACAGCTCGGTGGTGCGTACCACCTCGGCGGAGTTTTACTTCACGTGAGTGGCCGGCCAGCAGGTGTCCGTGTCCGTTTCCAGAGGACGCACCATTCATCACCTTCTTCATTCCGCAGGAACATTATTCTGCGCGAGAAAACGAGCATCGACGACGGCATCGGGTATCCCAGCTGGAGCCTGGCGCTGGCGCTGGCCATCGCATGGGTCATCATAGCCGGCATCATGTTCAAGGGGGTGAAGAGTTCCGGCAAGGCCTCCTACTTCCTGGCCCTCTTCCCCTACGTGGTCATGTTCATATTGCTGGTGCGAGCCCTCAGCCTACCCGGGGCCTTCGATGGCGTCCTGTACTTCCTCCGGCCGCAGTGGCACAAACTGCTGGAGCCCCAGGTTTGGTATGCCGCCGTCACCCAGGTCTTCTTCTCCCTGGCCATCTGCTTCGGAAACATCATCATGTATTCCTCGTACAACCGCTTCGGCCACAACATTTACAGGTGAGTTGAAGGACGCAGGACTTTAGGCCATTAACTTATCACTCGGTTGCGCAGGGATGCGAACATAGTGACCACGCTGGACACCTTCACATCGCTGCTGTCGGGGGTGATTATCTTCGGAATCCTGGGAAACCTGGCCTACGAGAACAACACCAAGGACATTGCGAGTGTGGTTAATGGCGGGCCGGGTTTGGCCTTCATCTCGTACCCCGATGCGATAGCCAAGTTTAAGGTGCTGCCGCAACTCTTCTCGGTGCTGTTCTTCCTCATGCTCTTCGTCCTGGGCATTGGCAGCAACGTGGGCATGGCCTCCTGCCTGTCCACGGTGATCAAGGATCAGTTTGTGCATCTCAAGAACTGGATGATTGTGGTGGGCATAGCCATTGTGGGCTATTTTCTGGGCCTGCTCTACATCACCCCCGGCGGCCAGTTCATTCTCAATCTCTTGGACTTCTTTGGTGCCACCTTTGTGGCCCTGGTTCTGGCCATCTTCGAGCTGGTGACCATTGCCTGGATCTATGGTGTGAAGCGTCTCTGTCGGGATGTCCAGTTCATGCTGGGCATCAAGACCTCGCTGTACTATCGCATCTGCTGGGCGGTGGTGACGCCGCTCTTGATGCTCACCATTCTCATCTACATGCTGGCGCTGTACGAGCCGTTGCAGTACAAGAACTACACCTACCAGTCGGGCGTGTACGGTAAGTCGAGGATTAACCCCTAACAATCGGATGTCCTGGCTAATAGAAATCCCTTTTAGTGTTCGGCTGGTGCCTCAGTGCCTTCGGCGTGGGCCAGGTGCTCTTCTGGGCCATTCCCGCCATCCGGCAGCAGCCAGCCAGTCTGGGCTTCTGGGGCCGGATTCGTAAAGCCTTTGAGCCACTGCCCAACTGGGGACCCACCGACCCCCACACCCTCAAGCGGTACCAGCTCTACGTGCAGGAGGACAACGTGAGCGCCATGTTCCGGCGCAGCAGTATCTGGCACAAAATCTATGACAATATCTTTGGTTAGCATCGAATTAGCAATAAAACTATATACCATTTAATGCCGCGCGCCCCTGAGTCGCTTTACGAGGTCATCACGGGATCTACAGGGCAACCCTTTTATAATAAAAATCAGTCCCAGCCCCGGGCTTAAGTGCCAAATTAAATGGCAGTTGGAGTTGGCCTTAGGACGATCATAAGGCCAACGCAATGCTCTTTGAGATGGCATCGTAAATGAAGGATTCTGGATACAGAAAGGTGCCAGCGTGAGTTGGTATATAATGATAGATTAAAAGTTAAGGTATTTTCAAAATAAGAAACTAAAGAAAATATATATTTCCCTTAACCCTCATCGATTCCCTGCGAAATGGTAAACTTTTTACTTGCAGCAAAGTACATTTCTGTGTCCGCTTCGCATCTCTAGTGAGTGCTGTGGCAACTGGCGGAACTATAAAAGACAAGACAATTGCAGCCCGCGGCACAACCCATTTCTGTATCCCTTGTGTGTGCACTGATTATGCCATAAAGGGTAGAAAGTTCTGATTTTATGATTGAAAGAAAAAGTTACACATGCGGCGCAGGACGTGTGTCCTTATGGTTGCGTTTGTGTGGGTGTGTGTGTGTGCGTGTAAAACACTTCCGCGCAACATCAGGCGAAAAGTATTAAAGTAATTTGTAGAAAGGAAGCAACGGGCTCAGGGCGGATGATTCCGCTTTCAGGCTGTTGGTTGCCTGCTGTGCAGATAAGCAGGACGGTTGGAAATATTGTCAAATGACAAACGACTGGGAATCCTTTTTACATTCAAGGGAGAATATGTATTTGGTACACCTAATAAATCAAACAGTAACTCGTCCTTCATTAGTCTGTAAGACACTAATGTGAGAAAAATATGGGGATATGGCAGAAATATTGCATATATCAAGAGCAAAAGTTCCATGTATTACATTGTCCAAGAGAACGAATTATTAAAATCAAGAAAGGAAACTAAGCTTGAGAAGACAAGGAGGAGCAACCATGCAATTATCCTTAGAAACATGGGTTTGAATCCCTCAAACGATTATTTTATTAATTCTTAAGGCTTTTCTGTATTTCTTTTTATCGGGATACTAACATATAACGTTTGTTCTTATATATTATTTTTTATAGAAAACAAAATTTTTAAATTGCAGAACTAAGCCAAAAATGCATTAATTTCAATTCGGAAAGCTGTCCTGTGATTGTTTTGACGATGCTAATAAATCTGTATACCACATTTCAAATGAAATATTATTCAAATTTTTCCCAATTTTCGCAAATTTTAATGATGTAACCCCTTGTAAAATTTTCCAAAATTGGCTAAAATTTTCAAAAATTTGGTTCGCTAGTTTTCGTTATTAATTAACTAACATTTTAGTGGCGCATCGGAGGGTGTATGAATTTTTGCAATCGTCGGATTTTTGGCCATTTTATGGCGTTCAGAAAACAGGGAAAATTGCATTTTTTCATACATATTTACGTTTGTTCTTATATATTATTTTTATACAAAACTTAATTTTAAAAATTCTATAACTAAGCCAAAAATGCATTAATTTCAATTCGGAAAGCTGTCCTGTGATAGTTTTGACAAGGCTTATAAATCTGTATACCACATTTCAAATGAAAATATTATTCAAATTTTTCCCAATTTTCGCAAATTTTAATGATGTAACCCCTTGTAAAATTTTCCAAAATTGGCTAAAATTTTCACAAATTTTGTTAGCTTGTTTTTGTTATTAATTAACTAGGATTTTAGTGGCGCATCGGAAAGTGTATGAATTTTTGCAATCGTCGGATTTTTGGCCATTTTATGGCGTTCAGAAAACAGGGAAAATTGCATCTTTTCATACATATTTACGTTTGTTCTTATATATTATTTTTTATACAAAACTAAATTTTAAAAATTCCATAACTAAGCCAAAAATGCATTAATTTCAATTCGGAAAGCTGACCTGTGATTGTTTTGACGATGCTAATAAATCTGTATACCACATTTCAAATGAAAATATTATTCAAATTTTTCCCAATTTTCGCAAATTTTAATGATGTAACCCCTTTTAAAATTTCCCAAAATTGACTAAAATTTTCAAAAATTTGGTTCGCTAGTTTTCGTTATTAATTAACTAACATTTTAGTGGGGCATCGGAGGGTGTATGAATTTTTGCAATCGTCGGATTTTTGGCCATTTTATGGCGTTCAGAAAACAGGGAAAATTGCATTTTTTCATACATATTTACGTTTGTTCTTATATATTATTTTTTATACAAAACTAAATTTTAAAAATTCCATAACTAAGCCAAAAATGCATTAATTTCAATTCGGAAAGCTGTCCTGTGATAGTTTTGACGAGGCTTATAAATCTGTATACCACATTTCAAATGAAAATATTATTCAAATTTTTCCCAATTTTCGCAAATTTTAATGATGTAACCCCTTGTAAAATTTTTCAAAATTGGCTAAAATTTTCAAAAATTTGGTTCGCTAGTTTTCGTTATTAATTAACTAGCATTTTAGTGGCGCATCGGAAAGTGTTTGAATTTTTGCAATCGTCGGATTTTTGGCCATTTTATGGCGTTCAGAAAACAGGGAAAATTGCATTTTTTCATACATATTTACGTTTGTTCTTATATATTATTTTTTATACAAAACTTAATTTTAAAAATTCTATAACTAAGCCAAAAATGCATTAATTTCAATTCGGAAAGCTGTCCTGTGATAGTTTTGACGAGGCTTATAAATCTGTATACCACATTTCAAATGAAAATATTATTCAAATTTTTCCCAATTTTCGCAAATTTTAATGATGTAACCCCTTGTAAAACTTTCCAAAATTGGCTAAAATTTTCAAAAATTTGGTTCGCTAGTTTTCGTTATTAATTAACTAACATTTTAGTGGCGCATCGGAGGGTGTATGAATTTTTGCAATCGTCGGATTTTTGGCCATTTTATGGCGTTCAGAAAACAGGGAAAATTGCATTTTTTCATACATTTACGTTTGTTCTTATATATTATTTTTTATACAAAACTTAATTTTAAAAATTCTATAACTAAGCCAAAAATGCATTAATTTCAATTCGGAAAGCTGTTCTGTGATAGTTTTGACGAGGCTTATAAATCTGTATACCACATTTCAAATGAAAATATTATTCAAATTTTTCCCAATTTTCGCAAATTTTAATGATGTAACCCCTTGTAAAATTTTCCAAAATTGGCTAAAATTTTCAAAAATTTTGTTAGCTTGTTTTTGTTATTAATTAACTAGGATTTTAGTGGCGCATCGGAAAGTGTATGAATTTTTGCAATCGTCGGATTTTTGGCCATTTTATGGCGTTCAGAAAACAGGGAAAATCGCATTTTTTCATACATATTTTCGTTTGTTCTTATATATTATTTTTTATACAAAACTAAATTTTAAAAATTCCATAACTAAGCCAAAAATGCATTAATTTCAATTCGGAAAGCTGACCTGTGATTGTTTTGACGATGCTAATAAATCTGTATACCACATTTCAAATGAAAATATTATTCAAATTTTTCCCAATTTTCGCAAATTTTAATGATGTAACCCCTTGTAAAATTTTCCAAAATTGGCTAAAATTTTCAAAAATTTTGTTAGCTTGTTTTTGTTATTAATTAACTAGCATTTTAGTGGCGCATCGGAGGGTGTATGAATTTTTGCATTCGTCGGATTTTTGGCCATTTTATGGCGTTCAGAAAACAGGGAAAATTGCATTTTTTCATACATATTTACGTTTGTTCTTATATATTATTTTTTATACAAAACTAAATTTTAAAAATTCCATAACTAAGCCAAAAATGCATTAATTTCAATTCGGAAAGCTGACCTGTGATTGTTTTGACGATGCTAATAAATCTGTATACCACATTTCAAATGAAAATATTATTCAAATTTTTCCCAATTTTCGCAAATTTTAATGATGTAACCCCTTGTAAAATTTTTCAAAATTGGCTAAAATTTTCAAAAATTTTGTTCAATAGTTTTGCGTATTAATTAACTAGCATTTTAGTGGCGCATCGGAAAGTGTATGAATTTTTGCAATCGTCGGATTTTTGGCCATTTTATGGCGTTCAGAAAACAGGGAAAATCGCATTTTTTCATACATATTTACGTTTGTTCTTATATATTATTTTTTATACAAAACTAAATTTTAAAAATTCCATAACTAAGCCAAAAATGCATTAATTTCAATTCGGAAAGCTGACCTGTGATTGTTTTGACGATGCTAATAAATCTGTATACCACATTTCAAATGAAAATATTATTCAAATTTTTCCCAATTTTCGCAAATTTTAATGATGTAACCCCTTTTAAAATTTTCCAAAATTGGCTAAAATTTTCAAAATTTTGTTAGCTTGTTTTTGTTATTAATTAACTAGGATTTTAGTGGCGCATCGGAAAGTGTATGAATTTTTGCAATCGTCGGATTTTTGGCCATTTTATGGCGTTCAGAAAACAGGGAAAATTGCATTTTTTCATACATATTTACGATTGTTCTTATATATTATTTTTTATACAAAACTAAATTTTAAAAATCCATAACTAAGCCAAAAATGCATTAATTTCAATTCGGAAAGCTGACCTGTGATTGTTTTGACGATGCTAATAAATCTGTATACCACATTTCAAATGAAAATATTATTAAAATTTTTCCCAATTTTCGCAAATTTTAATGATGTAACCCCTTGTAAATTTTTCCAAAATTGGCTAAAATTTTCAAAAATTTTTTTAGCCTGTTTTTGTTATTAATTAACTAGGATTTTAGTGGCGCATCGGAGGGTGTATGAATTTTTGCAATCGTCGGATTTTTGGCCATTTTATGGCGTTCAGAAAACAGGGAAAATTGCATTTTTCATACATAATTACGTTTGTTCTTATATATTATTTTTTATACAAAACTAAATTTTAAAAATTCTATAACTAAGCCAAAAATGCATTAATTTCAATTCGGAAAGCTGTTCTGTGATAGTTTTGACGAGGCTTATAAATCTGTATACCACATTTCAAATGAAAATATTATTCAAAAT